ACGGACAAAACAAGCGACACAACCTCCTCCCCACCATGTGGAAGGGAGGTCCAAGTTCACAAGCATGATGCAGCCTTTAATTAGCAGAGGGCCTCATTTAATAGAAAACCAAGCCAAGAGAGAGAGGTTCAAGCTGAATATTAGTCCAGGGCCAGCCAAAAGAAATATTCAGAGCTGGAAAAAAACAGGAACTAACTTATAGAATACTACAAGTAGACAAAGAAAATTTTATATAACTTGTTTCTAAAAAAGAGGTAAAGGGCTCATATAGGAAGGTCAAATTCTTAAAAGTTAAAAAATAAAAATCTTTGCCATCAATTGACTCATAGCAACCTCTCATCTGCCAGTCACTCACTGTCGAGTCTGAACCAACGCAGAGTTGACCCTCCAAAGAGATTATTAATAATAAGGTTATAAAGATTATAAATAATGAGGTTATAAATAGCAAATGAGGTAACTGCATTTTTTCTTCCAAGGAGCTGCTGGTGGATTCGAACCGCTAGTGAGGCATGGCCATTCGGCTGGAACACAGCTCTGGAGAAACACTCCAGATGGTTTTCACTGATTTTGCTGAAATATCACTAAGTTTCTTCCAAGATAGTGCCCTCTGGACAAACTTGAGTCTTCAATTTTCTGGTCAGCAGGGAAGTGTGACAACAGAAATAAAAATTCTACTGGATAGGCTCAAAGACACAAGTGGACTGAATCTGCTAGAAAGTGGAGCAAATACAGAAAGCAGAACTAATCAGAAAACAAGGGGATCAATTTGGCAGGTTGAACAGCCTATGAATATTTATGAGCCTTGAGAATAGAACAGAAGGAAGAAATTTTCATAAATTACACAAAAAACATTTCTCAAAATATGGGCTTCCAAAGTGAAAGCCAAGTACTCAATGCAATGAAAAACACCCTCCTGCAAAAATCATTTGGAAATCTCACAACGCTAGAAAAGAAATAAATATCTTAAAAGATTAGTAAGACTAGGATTAGATCACAATCAATAAACTAAAAATACAGATTCACAATGGACTATTTTTATGGTAACAATGAAAGATAGAAAGTAGTGGTTTAGACTTCAAAATTCTGAATGAATTTACTTCCAAACTAGAAACCAATACCCAAGTTCTCATGCACTTTCTTACTAAAAGAATTAAGATGTGTTCCATCAAAACAAGACTTACTCCAAGAGGCAGTCATGAAGTTCCTGGTGGCCACAAAGAAGAATCCCCGACAACAGCTGTGTAAGGTTCTACAGGCGCGATTCTAAAATGGCACGTGAGGAAGGATCCCACGATCCAGAATACTATCCCAGGGAGAAAAAGGAAAGCATGCTATACATTTGTCTAACCAGAAAGATTGTAGAAGTCCTAACCCTTGTACCTGTTCACTTTGACCCTGTTTGGAGATAATTTTCTCTTGTTGCACTGTGATCCTCAAGAGTACCAAATATCCCATGGACTGTCAAAAGATCAAAGATGTCTGGGAGAAAGCACAACCAGAATGCTTCTTAGAATTAAGTATGGAAAAACTTTGTTTTACATACTTTGGCCATATTGGTAGGAGACACTATTCCCTGGGAAAGAGCATCAGGCTTGGAAAGGTAGAAGGTTAGCAGAAAAGAGAAAGACCTTCAATGAGATAGACTGCTACAGTGACAGCAGCAGTGGCCTCAGGATGTCAGAGATGGTAAGGATGGCTGAGAATAGGGCAGAGGTCAGAGTTCATAAGGTCATTACAAGGCATACTAAAACAGCTGAACAGCACCTACCAACAAACAAGGGGGTGGGGGGCCGGGAAGGACCATTGCTGTGAGCCCAAACAATTACACCTGACTCCAGCACATTCTTGGAGGCTGTGAGGAGCATGGGGTGAGACCACCCATCTTTTCCCTGTGGAGTTGTTAGTGGATTCAGTAGCAAGAGAGGCTCAGCCTTTGGACTAACAGCGTAGTGCCAATGTTGAAGTGGCTTTAAAGAAACAAACTGGGTTTTATGTCATTTTGGAGACATAATGTCTGGGTTAGGGAGCTCTGGTGGCCTAGTGATAAAAGGATTTGCACTGTGAACCTAAAGGCATGTGGTTTCAACCCACAAGCTCTCCTCCCATGGGATTTACTGCCCCTGAAAATCCGCTGGAGGGTGAGCTACGAGTTGGTTCTGACTTGACGGCACATACCACCACACTGGGACATTCCGCTACACCAGCAGTAATGAAGATTTTCTGATAGCTTTGTTCATGTGCTGGAAGGCCTTTTATAAATCTGGGAGGTCACCATTTGTCCTTTTATCCCCTTTGAATTTGATCCACACTCTCACTCTAGGGTCTAATCTTCTACTTGTCCTTCCGGGAGCACTCCTTCCCGAGGTAGCCAGGAATTACACTCACCAACTTCAGGTCTTCACTCAAATACAACCTTGTCATTGAGGATTTCTGGGCCATCTCAAAATGTCCCTTATTTCCTAGACCCTCCTTTTGGCCAGTCTTCATTTTCGTTACTCTTTCACCCTCCCAATATAACTCCAGGAAGGGAAGAAACTTTTCTGATTGGTCCTGCCAAATAATACGCTATAGTTCATTAAAAGGTATTTTTTAATAACTAAGTAAAGTAGACTGGGGAAAAAAGCCAAGTAAAAACCAAACCAAGGGAACATTTCTGGAAAACATTTACAAAGCAAATGAAAATGGGCATTATAGGTTCAAGATTTACAAAATGAAAACATCATAGGGTTTCTGTATTAGGGAATGGGCGTTAACAATTGTAATATAACCACCTATATCCTTAATAGGTGCTTTCTAAAGTCCATGAGACAAGAAATGACAATATTAATGGAAAAACAAGAAACTTAAGAGCTACCAATGGTTACAAATAGAGTGAAGGGAGTTATTGGTTTTGTTATACTTATTTGAGCTTGATTTGAGTTTTAAGCTATGTACTATTTATATGGATCATTTGGTGCAAATAAAGGAAAAATTCTCTTCTCAAGATTCTAACAAACCTTGATTCTTTTTACTTCATGTCTCGGTGAATGGCACATGACAGACTATCAATAATGACTTGTAGGCTGGATGGGTTCTGATTTATAGCAACACACCAAATCTTGTAGCTACAAGATTTCACAATAAGTCACATATGAAGTATTCTTTGACATGGAGATAAAATGCTTCATATAGACTGCTTTCTAAGCTAAACACAGAAATTCCATATGACCCTGCCATTATACTTGCTTGGAATACACCCTGAGAAAATGACAAATGAGGCACAAAGGATACTTGTACACCAATGTTCAGAGCAGCGCTAATCACCATTGCCAAGAACATGGAAACAGCTCAGATGTCCAACTACAATGGAATGGATTGAGAAATTCGGGTACATTCACACAATGGAATACTATGCAGTACTCAGGAGCAATGATTTTGTATATTACTACATGACTTGGGAGGGAATGGAGAGCATTATGCTAAGTGAATTAACTCAGTCCCATAAAGATAAATATAGTGTAAGACCATTATTGTAGTATGTGTATGAGGATCCAAGCAGGGGAACGGGGGATCAGAGGAGTAACGGTGTGTGTGTGTGTGGGGGGGGGGCTGTGTGTTAATCATAAGGTCACAATTTGATGGGCGGAGGGAGGGGTGGGTTAAGGAAATGGGAAAGATCTGGTGAGAAAAATAATGTATATGAATTTTGTAAGTAAACCAGTATAAAACAGTAATAAAAAGACTGCTTTCTAACATAAATTACTAACAAAAACAAAAACATAGAAGCATTTCAATAATGGTCAATAAATACTAAAAATAGAAAATGTATAAAGCAAATATTCCTGAACATTTCATCAGAAATAAGAACTACGTAAGAGTTAAGTAAATGGTACAGTCTGTAATGAACAGTCCTGAAATCACAAGTCTCTCTGATGGTTCATATCCAACCTGCTCTCCTGTGAATTAGTCTCAGAAACCAACAAAAGGTGAGCTACGAGTTGGTTCCAACTTGACAGCAATTATTTGGTAATTCTAAAGTTCAGAATCTTACGTGTCAGATAGCTATATACTGCCACCTCATGGCTACATCTGTAATTACAGCTTAACTTTGGCAACTATAAAGACACCACACATGTAAGTCACTCATATCTCATGTACATAAATTCAGTAACTAAATCTTGAACAAGAGTATAAATAGAAATAAAAACTGCAATAAAGTGAAAGGATTTTATTAATAATTTATTGTCAGTAAGAAAGATTGGCTAATGGTAGTTTTCAGTAAAAACCTTTACAAGACCATTGCATCACAAATATACAGACACTATAAAAACTGTGTCATGATGGTTTTGGTTCTAACAGGTATGCAGAAGGTCCCCATTACACTTTCCAATAATGAAAAATGTTTATAATTCTAAAATACTGTAATCCATTTAAGACATGTCCATGTTTCACCTTTTTCCCATCCTATGTACATCTAGAAATGAAAGACTATTTGAAATGCTTTAATGAAATGTCATACACTTCAGCAGAACAGAATATATAATGAAAACCCTGGTTATAGTAAAAAAAAAAATCAGGGTGTTAGTTAATGTTACTAACACCACCAAATTCAGTAAAAATAAAATGCATAAAATAGCTTGAAAATCTAGTTAAAACTATGAAAAATCAAATCTGTACATAAAATTTACAAAAAGAAAAATTAAAATCATCAAATCTACATAAATACATGGGTCGTGCTAACAAAATAGTAGGACTGATCTTCGTTTTATTATTTCAACAGACGTGTAAATACAAAAAAGACATACAGAAATGGCACAGCCAATTTCAATCTCATCCAATTACAGTAGGTTAGGACACTGGAAATGGCTACATGTCAAGAGGCGCGTGATTCAGTGCAGCCATGCCCATGGTAGCTCACCGAAAAGAAGCGCTTAAGCACTGCTGCAGAGAACAATGCGTAAGATTATTTCAATAATCTCTAGGTTCATCAAAGTCCAGGCACTTTGGGGGGAGTGTGAGCATCAGACCTCGGTGTGCTGTGGATCTAGGGGAGGAATCGTCACCTCTTCAAAGTGGCCGTCATCTCCACTCTCATAGTCACTCATCATCACCTCAGACTCCACTTCACAGCACGCTGAGACATCCGAGCAGGAAGCTGTGGAAGCGTACACAGACATGGGCATGTTTTCTACAGTGGGGGCTTCAAAGTTTCTTTGATACCCTGGACTGTATGGGACATAGGGTTCTCTACAAGTACTATTCTCACTAGTGCCTGCTTTTTGAGGTTCAGACATATCAACAGGATAGAAGTTGGGCAGATACTGATTCAGGTTAAACCTCTGCCGGTTCCTCGCTGAAGATCCCAGGCTACCTGTGGCAGGCATGTCTCTAGGAGGGTGTATGGATTCAAACTGGTCACTGAATTCTGGAGGTAAAGGTGGTAGTTCATCGGGTGCAGGGAAGTCTTCTGGAGGTGGTGGAAAATCACTTTCAATGTCAAAACCTCCAGGGTAATAGTCCGTATCGATGGCATTTGGGTCTGCTGCGTACAGGGGTGTTTGTTCATCGATGACCTCATAGTTGGGAAACTCCTGTATGTCTGGCAGAGGAACACTTGGCATCCAGTCAGATGTATCCCAGTGATACCCTTGGTGAAAAAAAGACAACAGTTGTCAGTGTGCTTTTCCCCAAGCATCTGGTAAAAGTGGTGAGTGAATTCCCCAGAAGCTAGAGATGGCTCCATATTCACACATTCAGGTTAATAGCTTTAGAAACTCTCTGTCTTGGCTTTGAAGACCCCCTTCTACCCTGTTTTAAGGACCTGAATGAACTAGGCTCTATTTCTGAAATATAAACTTGCATTTTTAAGTACACACCTAGCATGCCTGGAAAAAAAAAAGAATTTCAATAGAGTCGTTATGTTCCTATCTAAATTATAGCCCTCATTCTTCATTTCAAAATCTGTGACTTCTCTCTACAAAATATTGGTTCCTTCTTGGGATATTAGTTGGGATAGAAGTTTACTCTTTAAAGCCACTATTTAGTAAAAATATCCACTGTTACTTAATATGTACTTTCAAAATGAAGGTCTAACCAATACAGCTTTAAAAAAGTATGTTGTTGTTGTGTGCGCTCGAGTCAGAAGTGACCCACAGCTGACCCCTTGGGCAGGTTTTCAGAAGCAGTTAGCACAGAAGCACGAGAGGAGACTGCCTCGCCGTCTCCTGCAGAAAAGTTGGTGGATCCAAAGTGCATGCCTTCAGGATCACAGCACAGCTTCTTATCACTAGGCCACCAAAGTTTCCTTTTAAAACTATTAAGTAATCTGTAATATGTTAAAACTCAGAAAATGAATGTCCTTTATAAATTGTAGTAAGTTTGATATTAACAATGTACTATTTTCTTACAAGCCCTACTTAAAGGAACAGGCAATGTTAATAGCATGCTTCTAAATCAAGCACAATACACACAAGTATTTTAAAACATGAATTATTTTTAACAGGTAACAACAGTCAAACTTGTTACTTTTTAAATATTAAGTATTTTTAACTGTGCAAAAGTGGTTTGTGGTATTTTTTTCTCACCAAAAAAGGACAACAAAACACCCTTCCAGGTTGCAGGATGTTTTTATTAAAAAAAAAAAGGGGGGGGGGTTTCAAATCCTTTGACAGAGAGGAAAAATGTTAGGCATGATGTGCTTAGAATGCAGTGCACAAACGATTCTGTACACACACACTGAGGAAATGTATGAAGCAAGTCAGCACGAAGTCGACTCTTTAGCAGTGTCTTATTATTACTCAGTGACTCTCACACAATTGACATGCATATGTCACCTCGTGATTTGCTGGGGTCAGGAGCAGCCAAAGACTCTTTAGGTGGCAGAGTAGGGAAAAAGAAAATATTTATAATTAAAACAAATGAAAGGCTACATAGGCAATAACTGCATAAACCAAAGTAAGCTGTGTACAAAGGCGCAGAGTGCCATGTGCCCTGCCTGTAACCCATCATCTATGACACTCTGTGACAGCTAAGCACTTAGGCTACACAACTAAAATGGGATGATGATATACTACTGGCTGTACCAGGAAATGCAAATACTATTTTATTTTCTTCTCCTTGTTTCTGGCTATTGTGCATTTCTGCAAATACAAATTTTGTTAGGAATCCTTCAAATCTACAGGCTCTGGTAAACCGAACAGTTTGAATTACAGATTCATTTTACTTAGAAACATCATAAAGTAATTTTTTCTAAGCTCCTACAACATCAGGTTATCTATATAACAAATGAAATTCGTCTAAAGCAGCACAAAATATACAGTTTAGAAACATTCCACCCTTTGGGTGCATCTTAAGTTCAGACAAGTTCATAAAAGAGCCTTTAGATGTTTCCTAATAAAAACCAAACCAAACAAAAGACACACACCTCCTCAGCAAACGTCCCTTCAAAAATCATTGCCTTTGAGCTAGAACAAACTAAAGCTGACCCTCTGACAGGCTTTCAGTGGCTATAAATCACACAGGAGCAGCCGGTAGATTTGAATTGGCTGCCACCGGGTTAGCTGTGCGACTCCTTACCCCCGAGGCCACCAAAGCTCTCCTTAAATGCTTTATAGGTTAACTAAAAGCTGAAAATTTAAATCTTGTCTATTTTAAACAGGACGGTTTATATTTTAAACCTTTCTCTGGATAAAACCCTAGCTACAAATTCTTTTTGTCCACTCAACATCTGTAATTATTATTGCTTATTTAGAGCTCTGGTTTTATACAGCAAAGGATAAGTCAGAGAAAGATGATGTACAACCTCTCTCTGCCAGTCATGACCATGTGACTCGGGATGTCCTCCTAGCTAAGCTTCCAATCTGTGGAATGGCATGAAAAACCTTTTGGAGATTTACAAGTTTATAACTGTCAGCTCCTAGCAGTAATTCTTTATATCTGAAAAGTATAGGCACGCTAAGTGAAGTAGTTGATTTTTTGCTTCCAAACAAGCCAGCATTTTCTATGTACATATATAAAAATGATGTTTAATATTCTGGAAAACCCTCAACATAATTACAATATGATTTAATAGTTGGTTTTCTCAGAGGAATCCAAATCTAATGCCACAAAGACTGGACAAAGCAATATTTTGATAGAGTATTCAGCAAATATGTAGCTAAAGGATTTTCTAAAAGTATACTAAAACTACAAAATTCTAACTACTTTTAAAAAGAGAGCCAACAACATTTGTTACTAAAACTCAATAAATTTTCAAAGCTCTGAATTTTAAGTTTATACTTCTCATATTGTCATTATTTATTTTTCTACTAAATATATAGCAACAGAGGAACTTAACTTCTGCATTTTAACCCCATCAACATTTAAAATGTTAGAATGTAATCACACTAAAAATGATCTATTTTCTAAATCTATTTCTTTTCCATTTTCTAAATCTTTCACTTCTATTGTTTCTCTAAATCTATAAATTTATTACTATTTTTATTATTCTACTATCCACATTTCGTATTATTTTCTGAATCACCAAGTAAAAGCACGGTGCTACTTTTCTTAGGGATTTAAGTGTATGGCTCACCAGCAATTTGAAACACTGAATTTTATTCCTGAAGTGTCCTCCTTGGACCAATAACACCAGAATCTACTGAGAACTTGTTAGAAAATTCTCAGGCCCTGGGCCAGACTGCCAGTCTCGACCAGCAGATGGGCTTTTCCCAGAGCTTCACAAGGTCTGGACTGGCACTGCAGTTTAAGATCTATCAGCCTGTGCCACTGGGTAGGAAACTGCTCTAGTTTCAGTGCACTAATGCGCCTTTAGTGCACTAAAGGAGTCATTTACCATTAAGTAATTTTAGGAATAAGTAGTCACTGTCCTAATTTGTCCTAATAGACAAAGCGTCACATGAAACAATTTTCACTCAACCAACAGCAACATATCCATTTCACTTTGCTCTGCCATTTTTCCTCATAATACCTAAGGAAAGGCTAACAGTGAAAAGTCAGAAGTAATTATGAAAACTTTGTCATTAGTCTCATTCCTATCTATATGAAAAGAAATCTCTTTTTAATTACTTTTAATCTTAGCACTGTACCATTTAAACACAATTCTCAAGGCCTGAGGTAAAGCTACTGTCTGTGAAAATTCATTATGAATTGAATATATACATTTACACAAAATGAATGAACAAAAATGCCTCAAAACCACAAATTATTAACATGACAATAGGCAAAAGCACACTGCTTAGTGACATGGTCACTGCAAACAAGCACAAACACAAGCACTTAGGACTATACCTTCTTCATTCACCATGTCAACTACAGTGTTGACAAGGTGTATTACAGTCACTATGGAAGCTTGTAAAAGGGTACAAAAGGAGTAAATTAGGAAAACAGTTAGAAAACAGTGCATTAAATAGGATTTCTTCATATGATTTCTACCCCATGCTTTAAACATTTAAGAGACTGTTTTAACACAACAACATACTACAATTATGCATGATCCGTGCTAACCATATAGTTCTACCTTACAGACTTTCCAAACCAAGTTATATATTTGCTCATTATTAATCAAAAGAATAAAAGGAATAAATGGGGTTTTAAAAAACCATCTAAAGTTTTAAATCATTATGTACTGAGTCATAGCAAAGTAATTTCTATTTTAATATCTCATGAGCAAAAGACATCATAATCAAAAGGTAAAATTCTTGGTTAACTGATTTTCTAGAGGATAAAATTTTAAAGCTATATAATATAGAATTCAAATACAAAAGTGTCTTTGTCCCCCTTTTATTTGGTCCCCATGCCAAGGTTCCTTGCTTTTCTGCAGATGGCCTAGTAGCTGGTAAGTTAGCATAGCCAGCAAAGAAGTGCCAACTCTCAACCTGGCTGTGTTCCACCTAAGTTCTCTGTTTATAAAGGATATTGTTTTACAACATTAATGCACCAAAGCAAATATGTTTGTGTGGTGGGCAGAAAAATGGTCCCCAAAGAAGTCCAGGTCCAAATCCCTGTGAATGTTATCTTAATGGCAACGGGCAGTTAATCAGCTTGAATAAAACAAACAACCTTGAGATGGGGCCATAATACTGAATTATGCAGGTGAGTCTGACCTAATTAATTACATGAGAACTAAAAGGTGAAACCATCAGTGGGCGATGTGATGAGGCAGGTGGGCCAGGGAGAAAACACTGCTGTCTTTGGAAAGTGGAGAAAGGGGCCACAGGTCAAGATACATGGGCAATTCAAATTCAAGAAGCTGGAAACACCAGCACGCCCTCCACTGGGGCTCCTAGAAATAAACACAGCTCTAATACCTTAGTATTGATCAACTGAGACCTGTTTTGGACTTCTCACTTAAAGGAATGGAAGATAAATTTATGTAATTTTAAAACATAAAGTGTGTAAGAATTTGTAAAAGCAGCTTTAGAAAATACAGTGTAACCAGACTCCAAAACAGACTTCCATTTCAGGATAATGACAAAAATAATGACTGAAATACTAAAAAATGATTAAAATACAATCATACTTCAACTTTACCCTTCATGTTGTGCTCTTTGCTGTCTAGCAATAACCGTTGATGATTTATTTTATCATAACCTAGTAACTATTTAGAGATGCTCAGAATGATGTTTCAATGAAAAAAAACTAAGAAATTTAAGTAATACTGACAAAATCCTGACACATTTATGAAGAGAATCTGGGGTCATTTTATGTAATTTAACTGATAACTCTTTTGATAAAATTTTCTTGTGACTGGCTTTAATAAAACAAAATCACATTTCTCCCTGCAGCACTATACTTCGGCACCTGATTGAAATAAGAAATGCAAACAAGTCACGACTATTTTTAGTTCAGAAACGGACTATGTTATGAACTATGTTATTCTAGGTAAAAAACAATCAAATCATTACAGATTATTTCTTCCCACCATTAATCAATGGTAAAATGTTTATTCACACTGTAAAGTTTCTTTATTAATTCTGAGATTCAAAGATTTCCACTTAAAACTCACTGAAATAATCTAAAGTTTGAGAGGGAAGCTGTTTTCTCAAAACTAAACAAAAGTTTAGCTTCTAATTAGTAAAGAGAAAAGTCTGCCTCAAGTATTACACTCTTTAAAGAACTACATGAGATTAAACTGACAACAGTAACTTTGAAAGATTAAGATAGGAACCTCACAGGGCAGGGAGTTCATGCAGATGGGAGGAGGAGGAAGAACTCAGAAAAGGACTAGAATCATGTACAACGGGGAGAATACAATCAGTGTCATTAAATTATAAATGCAGAAACTGTTGGATTTTATGTTGTGCATGTCTATTTCCAATACCAATAGAAGAGGGGAAAATCCTCATTTTATTGCATTATTGAATATTCACCAATTCTCTGTGTGGTAATTTAACAAAGCTGGTTATTAATGTCATTTATCCTAGGGAGATCAGATAAACATATCTTTCAACTTGGCATTGGCATCAATGATCCCACTGTCACACTTTATTAGAAATATAATCAAACTTACTAGCAATCTCTTAAACTGTGCTCTCAGTCAGTATGCTCTGATCCAAATGGGAGCTGATGCCGCAGAGGGGTTGAGGGAGAAGACAAATAAGACCTTGTAATACCATAGGTATTAGAAAGGCGTACTAAAGATGAACATTGCAGACCAACACACTGCTTTAGGGAGGGGGGTAAGTGTATGTGTGTGCGGAAGAGGAGAGGGCGCTGTGCTCCAGAGAGCAAATGAAAAGTCCCAACCCAACATGGCACCATCGAGTCGATCATGACTCAGAGCGACCCCGCTGGGGTTCTCAGGCTGCGAATCTTAACAGAAGGAGACTGCTCATCCTTCTCCTGTGGGATGCTTGGCAGACTGAAAGCAACCAGTTCAAACTGTTTTAACATGCCAATCAAAGCTCCTTCAAGAAAGTGTTCAAACCCTTTCCCAAAACTTCTGTAATACTTACTGTTATGAAAAAAACAAAAGTCAATACCAAGTGAGTCAATCTGAAATTACCCATCAATTAATTAGTTTCTTGTCTATTACTGACAAACTGCTACAATTAAAATTATCTATTCATAAAGAAGAGTTCCAATATATTCCCCGACAGATACTCATGCAGGTGTTTTCGTCCAAATGAAAGATGCTAACTCTAGTGGGACTAAGAGCACCTGACACATCTGCACCATTATAAACAGTGTGAGAAGCATTCCCACCAGCAAGCAAGTAGACAGTGTTCCACTCCCTCCGCAGACTCACCATTGTCATCACAAGACTCGGACTGGAAGGAGCTCAGGGACTGCACTTCAGACAGGCTTTCCCGTGCGCTGTACGGGAGAGAAGGCTTCTCCTCCAGAGGTTTCTTTGAGAGACAGGGATCGAGATCCACCACTTTAGCTAAAGGAAAATGGGACAGACAGTAAGCTCAGTGTGTAGCAAGGACTGTGCTTTGTTGACTGCTGTGTGCTGACACAGAACCAGGGCTAGCAAACAACTGCTGGATCCATGTCATAAGCAGGTGATGGAAGAAAAAGAGAAAGATATCTTTGGCACAAGCACACATGTATATATCCTTGGGACATTGACAGATTCTACATGGACTTGGCCAGTTGATATTTTCATATTAAAATTGTTTCAAAATAGTTATAAACTTTCATATAAAAGCATTAAATATTCTTTAGGCCACAGTATATATATATTCCTCCCTATAATCATATTAAAAACAGAGATGGGGGAGAACCTAGCATTCAAATATCCCCAAAAGCATTTTTAAGACTTACTAAGAAGCCCTAATATGTATAGCTAGCTCAGAGCCTAATTTATCAATACAAAAATGCAATTATCACTATAGAGTCTTAACTGGAAAGAGAGTAAATTTGCTTCTAATTAAAATAACATCATAGTATAAAATTTCAGTCCTGGCCCCAACACACCTGAAATTACTTTTCAAATCTACTAAGTAAATCATCAGCTCTTAAGCCCATTTATCTCTAGCAATCAGAACCAACTGCTTTCGAGTCAAACAGCTGATGGTGAAGCTGTGTGCATCACAGTGCATATTGCTCCACTGGGTTTTCAAAGGCTAGACGTGCAGCAGATCACCAGCCCTTTCTTCTAAGATACCGCTGGATGGACTTAAAAGCCAAACTTGAGGCTAACAGAAGAACAAAACAACTGCTTATAACACTCAAGGACTCTATCTCTTAAAACAACTGCCTTTTCACTCAACCCAAAATAGCTCTCAGAGAGCATGTAATCTTACTATCTCAGTGACACTTTAGCATAGAATAAGATCAAGGAAGTCACTCTTACTGTCATAGTCAAAGTCCCAGCTGGGCTTCTGTATGGAGTCACTGTCAGAAGGAGAGTTGGAAGGAGGCGGGGGAGGCAAGTTTGGAGCAACGCTGCAGACGGCCACTGCTTTCCTATGCCCGTGCACAGACTCGGGGTTAAAAGTGCTGAACTCAGGGTGCTCAGGGATAGCAGATCCTTCAAAGGAATTTCGATCAAGATTGTTTCTAGAGTCACTTGGAATGCTTGGAGTGTAGGAAATCGGGCGGACAGGCACCTGGGGCGGTATATCTGAGTAAATGTTCTTATTTAGCTTTGAATCAAAATATGGTCTTTGCAAGAAAGCTGTATTGGGTCCCATATGTTTATCTTCAGGTTCAGGCTGGTGTTTCTTTTTCTTCCAATTAATCATTTTGCGGCAGACAACAAATATAACCACCAGTAAGAATATTCCTATTATAAAAACAATGACGCCGATCCCTTCGGCCAATCCGATGTTCCATGGAGTGGACACATACTGGTTGGGTGCAGCTTCTTCGCAGTGTTTCCCTCTGAATTCCTGGCTGCAGTTACAATGATAGGAACCGTGCGTGTTCTCGCACAGTGCCCCATTGCGGCAGGGGCTGCCAGCGCACTCGTCAACATCACTCTGACATCTGCCAGGAACAGAGAGCCCAGAATGAAGAGACTGTGGCAACAAAATAAGCACAGGCCAAGCCTAGGAACATTAAGAGACTAGAGAACAACCCCTCCTTAAAAATATAAAACCAAACCCAATCAAAAGTCCCAACTCTCAGAACAGTAACTGCAACACAAAAGCCTTTCTGTGGGGTAACTATCCCATTCAGTCTGGAATGTATGTTTGTGAGACACCTGTCATTTTTCTAGGATTCAACAGAATTAAACTATCAGGATACACAGCACTCTGATGGCCAAACAACTATACAGAAAATTGATGCATATTGATAAAATTGACATTCTAATAGATGATTAAATTTTCAAAGAAATTCAAGTCTGAGAATATGAAATGAGAGAAATTCTTTTCATTTAAAACTGTACCTGCTTGTTTGACAAGCTTCCACAGTTCTCAATGCTTTAACACGTTGCCACACACTTTTTAAACTGATGACCGTGCTTAGAAACACATTTGCCATCATTTGCGGCAACGTGTTAATAGTTGACCTGCATGTCCTCTTTTGCCTTCTCAAGGGCACATTTTTTTATTTTGTTTTTAAATATAAATATTTTATTTTATACTGGTTTACTTACAAAGTTTGTATACATTGCTTTTCACACTGATCTTTCCCACTTCTTTAACCTGTCCCTCCCTCCACTCATCGAAATTATGCGACCCTGTGATTATGCACCTCATCCTCACTCCTGTGCTCCTCAACCCCCCCTAGATCCTCATACATATTTTGCTAGTTATCTTTTTCTACAAAAATGGTCTTAAACAGTATTTGTCCTTATGGGACTAAGTTGGTTCATCAAGTAAGGGCATGTTTTGCACGTTTGCAGAACTATCTGCAACATTTTAACCCCTTCTTTTAATGAAATGTAGCCATTTACCAGTCCCCCATTCTCATCGCCATAAAGATTTACAAAGGAAAAATTTTGCCAAATTACATGAAAAGAGTACTAACTGATTATAAAGTATTCAGTTGATTAGAATTTGTGAACCAAGACAATGCAACTGGCAGACAAAATTTAGGACTTTGAGAACTGCTACAGCAAAATCTTATGTACATCCTGCAAGCAGATCATAAGAAAATCCTTCAATTAAGACTAACAGTGAAGTCTTACATAAAGGTTCAGCACTAAGTATTTGCAAATAATATGCCCTGAATATGGTGTTGGGTGGCTTGGATCTTTGCTATTTTGTGTTTTATTTTGTTGTTTGTTTTTGTTTTTTTTTTCTTTTTTAAACTAAATTGTTAAAAAAGTCCAAACAAATTGGGATCTGGAAAATCTCTTGTCCTTCTCTTTTCAGTCTTTAAAAGGCCTTATTTCTTCACTTGGGAAATAATGGTTTCTCAGAATTATAATTAAGAATTATAAAAATTATGAGAGTGAAAAAAGGTCAGCAGATGCTACATAAATGCAGTATAAGTCTGTCAAGAGCATCATTATTATCAGTCTCCAGGACAGATGGGGACAGCTCATACACTTGTGCTCTAAGAGAGGGTTATCTGCCGGCCCCTCTCATTCCACAAATTTACTACCTTAAGAATTCACTGCATTTTTGTTTGTTTATAATGACTAAGTATAGAAACAAGGCGTTTTTTTTTATATACCTATATTCACTTTTTCACAATTTTTTTAAAAAAAATTTAAAGTAAAAAGATAAATTATGCAAAGATCAAATCAATATGTAGACAAATTGTGGAGTTGAAATTAACAGAGTGTTTGCAATCACTACTCAGTATGACCCAAAAGCAGTGCCTCTCTGCCTTCTAGAGTCCACCAACAGCTCCAAGGACAAACATGGGCAATCTTTTCTGGTGTAATTTATAGCTCTGGAAATCCAGTGGGAGGTCAGCTATGAGTTAGTTCTGACTTGGCACTAATGAGAGAGATAGGACACTAAAGAAAGGTACAAAAAGAAATCTTTAAATGAATCACTTACCTTTCTCCTCTAAAACCTGATTCACACTGACAAACAGCGCCATCCAAACTGTCAAAACATGTCCCACCATTTTTACAAGGCTCATCTTTGCAATAGGGACTAAGCTGACACCTGAAGGAATAATATGAATAAATACAGCAAAACAGAAATGCATTTACAAATGAAGCTAAACATTTTACATATTTGCAAATTTTTAAAAGAAATTAATGATGAAAATTAGCAGCACCTACCTCTGGCCAGTATATAAACCCCTGCACTGGCACACGAAGTCTCCGTTGTCTACAAGGCACGTACCACCATAAAGGCAAGGGTTGGACGAACAGGGATTGACGCTCACCTCACAATACGTTCCTATGTATAAAGCACTGCATTTGCAATAATAACCTAAGTTAACAGAAAAGGAACAGAAAGATTTTATCATTTATTAACTCAAATACCAATCTTACATGTTTCAGCAAAGGTTTACTTCTCCAAGACTTAGAAAAGCCAGTAAAATTGCCATTTCCCCTGGGTAAAATGTTCTATTAACAAACCTTCCAGCACTTGATATAATTAAATGAGAAAACCAAAGAAGGGGGGGATAATAATAGATGGTAGTTAGTAAAAAATTACAATAATTATTGGATGATATTTAGAGAACAGGCAAAAAAAAAATTAGAAGGTAAAGGTACTTTATCAACAATCTGCGTTATGCAGATGACACAACCCTGCTTGCTGAAACTGAAGAGGACCTGAAGCACCTGCTGCAGTGGGTCAAGGACTGCAGCCCACAATATGGATTGAGGCTCAATGTCAAGGAGACAAAGATTCTCACCACTGGACCAACTGGCAGCATCAGGACGGATGGTGAAGAGATTGAGATTGTTCACAGCTTTAGTTTGCTTGGCTCCACAGTCAACAGTCTTGGCACCAGCACCCAGGAAATTAAAAGGCGCATTGCAATGGGAAAGTCTGCTGTTAGGGATCTCTCCAAAGTACTGAAGAGCAATGGTGTCTCTCTGGAGACTAAGATGCGTCTGATACAGGCCATGGTCTTTGTAATCACTTGTTATGCATCAGAGAGTTGGACAATGACCAAGGAGGATAGAAGGAGAATTGATGCCTTTGAGCTGTGGTGCTGGAGAAGAGTATTGAGAATACCATGGTCTGCTAGGAAAACAAACAGATTTGTCCTGGAAAGGGTTAAACTGGGTGGCTCCTTGCACGAAAGGATGCTGAGGCTCCGTCTAACATACTTTGGACATGTTGTGAGGAGAGACCGGTCCTTAGAGAGGGACATCATGCTTGGGAGGGTGGAGGGACAGCGCAGGAGGGGAAGGCCCTCTATTAGGTGGACTGATTCAGTGACTGGGATAATTGGGATGGGAGTGTCAGAGACAGTGCAATTGGCACAGGACAGAGCAGAGTTTAGGGCTGCTGTACATAGAGGGTCGCTATGAGTCGCAAGTGACTCGACGGCACATAACAACAACATGTTGATAAACAACGCATACTACTTAAAACCACTGGGACTCAATTTATTTGTAGCTTATTAAACTATTTAAGGATTAAATGAGTGTGAAAGCACTTTAAAGACTTTAAATTATCACTCAAATTTTAGAAGAGTGATCATAAATTTGGCCAAGATTGTACAATACTGTATGCCCCTATTTTTTTGAAGGCTATGACAGATAGTGGGGAAACCACTGGAAGTATTCACCCACAGATTCCCAATTATCTACCTTTAGAGGATCTGGTAAGACTGCATGTCCCTGACTGATTAGGGTTGGTCATGGGCTTTAGTCCAAGAACTTGTGTCCCCTTGGACGAGGGACTTTAAGGTCCAGTACATGGTTCACCACATTCCAAGTCACCCACCACAGTGACCATCACAGCCCATTTCAAGACAACTTTCTCAACCTCATCCCCTAGTGACATAGTGAAGAGTGCCTCCCTGTTACCTTTCATGAGGTACAATGTAATATGAGCACAAATGCTAGTCATGTTCCATCACTGAGATTTCTGGAGCATTTCTGTGGGGTAACTTAGCTTAGTTTAACTAAAATAAAATGTACTTTTCTACATGCATTAATATAGAAGACACTTTTTCAAAGAAAGCAGATAAAATAAACAACTAACCCAACACTAAAGGCCTTCTAGCATCCTGTGTTCTATATAGCGCCATGCCAGCCAACACCCTAGCCACCTCTCTGAGATATCGGTGCTATGAGCTAGCAAATAAGAAAAATGAAGCACTATAAATCTGAAATGCCTTTGGGCTATTGACTTTGGAAAAACACTCCAGACGGTACAATCATTAAGCGTTCAGCTGCTAACTGACCGGCAGTGGTTAGAACCCACCAGTGAACTCAGCAGGGGAAGAAGACCTAGCGATCTGCTCCAGTCAAGATTACAGACTAGCAAACACTGTGGGGCAGTCCTGCTCAATTAAGTAGGTCACTAAGATACACAACAAGAGCACGTATGGAATTCCAGGACAGTTCAGAGTGCGCTGTGGTTTGCTTGCCTGTCGCCAGTGAAATACAATGAGAAACGGACAGAAATACATTCTCTTCAAGTGCCCAAGTGTGACTGTGGACACTCATCTGTCAGCAGTTGTTCTCTCCAGCCTTGTGAACCAATTCTAATGCCAATCTACTCTCATAATATAGAATATTAAATTTTAACACTCACTGTAGTAGACTACTATTAATTTTTTTTCTAAAACATTTTTTTAGTGACTTCCCCAAAGTGTACTGATTGAAAGCTAATATTATGAAACCTACCTCCAGTAGGTGATAGATTACAAATGCCTCCATTCTGACAAGGGTTGCTCGAGCAGTCTTCTGTAGCTGTTAGTAAGCACCCAGGAGATACATCTACTGATTCTTCAATATGTGCATAGCTTCTTGGTTTGTTATTTAAAGGTAATTCTTGTCCATTCAAATAAATGGAGTCCATACAACCTTTGAAACCACTGCCAACTTGGGGGCTTCTTCCATGCCTTGCGCCTTGCTGACGGATGTGGCCACCAAAAAACACATGGTTGTCTAGGTTGAGGGTTTTAAGAGTCCCTGGGGCTGTGCCAGACGCAGTGTGGACTTGATCGAGAACCAACCTAGCATAGTTTCCGTTCACTTCCAGAGACACTGCATGCCACTGCCCATCATTGATCTGAATGCTCTGAACAGAGACAATGCCAGGGCCACTTCCACAGTCAAATTTGTATTGTAGTCTTCCATTATGAATCTATGTTAAAAAAGAAAAAAATTATCATTCACATTACTCTCTCATACGACTGCATCTTCAAATCACCGTTTCTAGCCAAAACTTAGAGGGAAGGAATATTTGCCAAATTAAAACAGGAAGGCCATCTTACATTTAAGTAGTATGTGCACAGTCTAACAATAATAAGCGTGGATCCTGAAGGAGTATCAAGTTCAAATGCAAATTAAGCATGCAGAAAGCATCAGAGAAATGACTAATAATTGGTAACTGAAAAGGTTTTTTTAAAAAAGAGCTTCAGATAATTTATAAAATCAAACTAAATCACGTTTTTCATAAAACAGTGGGCGAAACCTTAAAACATTTTAAGAATTCTCTATAACATTAGTAAGATCTTAAATCACCAAGTTTGAAAGCTAAAATTCAATGTGAATATAAAAAATGTGTGAAACTCACATGCACATTTGAACTTCTTTAAAAAAAACACACACTACACTTTCCACAATACCTAAAACTTGTTTAAGTATCAGTAATTATGGAATTCAATCATTTTGCTTACTTCATTATTTAAAACAAAACGCAAGACAGGCGGAACATGAAAAGAAATATATCTTTTCATCATTCCAAAATTTTCTACAACGTGAGGTACAAAATGCACGAACACACACCTCTAAGATACTATAGTCTGTCCCGCGAGCATACATTACAACTGCATGAGTAGAGTACGTTCTGAGTCTCATTGTCAATTTCATTTCTAATTTGTTTTCATTTTCCATTAAACGGTATTTTACAAAGCTGTTTCCACTAAATGTTACAGATGAACTCCCTGTAAATAACAAGAGAAAAAGAAATCAGAAGGAAGTTAAAATGTATCTTTAAAATTACGGTTCTATTCTATATTTACCCCAATTTTTATGGAAGAGTAAAACATTATACAATTAAATGTCTATCTACTTAAAAATATAAAATAATTGGTATCCCATTTGGAAAAGAGTAAACAAGGTTTGAGAATCATAAAGCAAAAAAACCTCTACTGGATGGCTCAAATAGAAGTATGTTCAATAGATTCATTAGAATACAATTTAGAAAAACCTATGTATGTGTCTAAGTTGTTTGTGAAACCTATTCAAGCAAGACAGAAAACAACTTCCTCCCGAAGAAAAGAATAATAACATTCTCCAAAGATGGAAATTATGTATAATTACACAGGTGTTAAATAAACATTAGGTTTCAAAGTGAAAAAAGATAGTATTAAACTATAAATATGAAGATTAATAGTGCACAGACATGGCAAGCAATAATGGAAATAATATTCAGAATATACAAAGAGTTCCATACTTTGGTAATAAGGAAAAGAAATCCCACATAACTCAGATAAGCAAAGAGTATCAATAGGCAAGTCAGAGAAGAGAAACTGCCAATAAGCAACTTACAAATGGAAAGATAACTCGCACTAGTAGTCACAATAGTACTTATTAAAATAGTCATTACTTATCATTTCATATCATTCACTGGGGGAATTAATTTCTTTCAATAAAAAACTTGTAACATTGTAAAAGAGAATGGGTGAGTCAAATATCTTCATGCATGAATGGAAGAAACATAAATTAGTATGGCTTTGGGGAAATATTATATTAAAAAATGAAATGCAGTTAATTTTGTCAGAGTAAATACTAACATTAGACTGCATTGTACAGACAGGAATTGAAGTTTTTTTAATAAGAAATGTTATACCCATAAGAAGGTTGAACAAAAGACGGTACAATGCGAGATAACACAGCACTACTATTAACAAACAAACAAATAGGTTTTCATGTACTGACTTGGAAAGATCCCATGACAAATCAGAGAATAGGTGTGTGTGGGTGGGGGGAGTGTGAGGAATATAGGGCTACTCTAGAGGGTGGGAGGACATCAGGTAGAAGTTCAGATGAAAGAAGATCACATTTTAGTTTAAGAGTCCTAAAAAGGAACTAAACCTTAAAATACATGATTAGGTTTAAATGACCACTGTAGCCTAGTGGCAAGAAGCTGTGATGCAATCCTGAAGGCATGCAGTTTGAATCCACCAGCTGCTCCATGGGAGGATGGGCCATCTCCTCCCGTGCAATTAAACTCTGAAATTAAACTATAAATATGAAACCCCCCTGGAAGGTCAGCTTTAAAGTTGGTTCCAACTTGATAGTACACAACAACATATAAAAAAGAAGAATGCAAGTGAACCTAACTCAGGAACATGTTGTCATACAAAAGGAAAGGAAATGACTATTACTTTTTATTCCTCTTTGTCTTGTTGACGATTGCTGTTGAGTCGAGCAAGACCCACAGCGACTCCATGAACAAAATGTCTGAAGCTGTTCTATAACTACTGTCATTTATCAAAGTGCATGGAGTTTGATTTGTCTTAGTAAATACTATTTGTAATGCTTTTAAACTTTATTGATAATTTCAAGAAACACTGAAAAAAGGCAAACATACACTTGTACATCAGTTCACTACAGCACTATTGACATCAATCAGTAGGTAAAAACAGCCTAAATGTCCCTTGTCATTTAAATGGGTAAATAAAATGTGGTAGATACATACAGTGTAATCTCAACAAAAAATTTATAGAGGCATAAAATCCTGAAACTTTCTAACATGATGAAACTTGAAAACACTCAGTATCATAAGAACAAGCACTGCACATTCCCAACTAAAGAAATATCCCAAAAACACATGTTTATAAAGAGGACTCTAGGTATATAAACTCTAAAAGTATAAACAGACTCTAGGTTTGTCCTGGAGAGGGTGAAACCAGGCTGCTCCTTGGAGGCAAGGATTTTGAAACTCTGACATACTTTGTGCATGTAACAAAGAGGAATCAGTCCTTGGAGAAGGACATCATGCTTGGAAGGGTGGAGGGACAGACGGCACAAGAGAGGAAGACCGTGACTAAGATGGACTGACTCAGTGACTGGGCTAACAGGGTTAGGTGTGTCTGAGACAATGCCAATTGGCTTAGGACAGAGCTGGGTTCAGAGCTGTTGTACACAGGGTCGCTATAAGTTGCAAGCAACTCAGCAGCACATAACAACAGCAACGAAATAAAGATCAGAGTTGAGTTTATCGCTAAAATTGGCTATAGATTTGGGTGAGATGTGGAAAAGAGAAACACTTAATGCTTAGGGAATGTTTGCTGTTGTTGTTATGTGCCATCGAGTCGCTTGCGACTCATAGCAACCCTATGTACAACAGCCCTAAACCCTGCTCTATCCTGTGCCAATCTCATTGCCTCTGACACACCCATCCCGATTACCCCACTCACTGAATCAATCCACCTCATAGAGGGTCTTCCCCTCCTGCGCTGTCCCTCCACCCTCCCAAGCATGATGTCCCTCTCCAAGGATCTGTCCCTCCTTACAACATGTCCGCCTGCTAAAGGTGATGACAAAAGTTGGAAACAGATTCTGATTTGTAGAATGATATAAACACAATAGTGTCAATGACTTGTACAACTGAAGAATACTGCAATGACACTAGTTTGCCACACATTGTATTCACCCCACACCCACTGTCACACTCGGAGTAGATGAGGGGAAGAGAAACACTGAAGATAATTTCTCAATATAAAGTATGTTTACTAATAAATGCTCACCTGGACATTGACCAAACCTGCCACCAGGACACACACAGGTGTATTTCTCTTCTCTAAGGTCAGTGATACATTCTGATCCCTCAGGGCATGGACTGTCTTCACATCCAGGGTGAACAACTGGGCATTTTCCATCTTAGTTCAAATAAAAGAGGAGGAGAAAGCTCATTACATGCAAATTCAACAAAATGATCTTTAATGTGTAGCCTTCAAAGACCACACATGACAATCTCCAACAGCCATTTTCACGGCTCCTATTACCTTTGCAGAGACACACAGCTGTCCTCCGGTGACGGGGAGTTACAAAGCTCAGTCTAGCTGTGCTATGAGTGGACATGACATGTTCATCCACAGACACCTTTTCATCACAGAATTTCCACGGGCAATCGAGCCCTGCACAGAGCTTCTGGAACACATTCAATATCCGAACACCAATGATTTCTTCAATATCAGTGACAGAGGAATTAATCTTGTGCAGAAGAGTTATTGTTGAAACCTGGACACTAGCTGATTTCTCTACAAAAAGTAAGACATCCAGATGTGACTGAGGCTCGGAAGGCTGCAAGCTAACAATGTGTATGTCATTCCTCCTCACACCCAAGACGTTCCGCAAAGCTCGCTGGAAGTTGCGCCAGTAGTCACCAACAAATTCTTCTGGAGTAAGATTGGCAAAGCGGATGGCAATGGTGTGGTTCAACATCTCCTGTGTTACTTGTCTGATATGCACCGTGATGTCAGCCACAGTTGTAAATTTTCCATCTGTTACACTGACATTGAGAAGGTACTGCCCTATATCTAGTTTTTTGTGTGCAATCAGCTTGCCACCAGTGCTGGAAACAGAGAACAAGCTATCCATTTGGGGATCAAGACTGTAGGTTAAAGTGTCATATACATCTTGGTCTGTTGCATGGATCTTCCCAATGACACCACCTGCATATTCCTCTCCAAAAGCAGTGATAAAAATTTCCAGTGGCAAAATGGCAGGAGGATAGATGCTTTCCTCAATGACTCTAATGTCAATATATGTCAAAGATGACAACTGAGGTTTTCCATTATCGGCCACCTGAGAGAAAAGGAAAATAATGAGTCATGTCATTATTCATAACATCTGAAAAAGTATGTATACTGTTCAAGCTCTGAGAAGTTATTAAGTATTTTTCTACAAAAAAGCAGCATATCAAGGAAAAGCAAAAATACTTTATTCATACTAAAGTTTGACTTTAGAGAGTGATAAAGCACTCTGCAAGTGCAGCAGAATATAATGAAGGTACAGCAAAAATTAAAAAACAAAAAAAAAAAACACCATACATACATATACATATATATTTCTCTAATCCTGCCCCCCATGAATTGAATGCTACTCAAATCCAAGACTGCAATCAATTAAGAATGGCAGCAACTGGAAGAAAAAGTAAGATTTTTAAAAACTGTTCTTTCCTATTCATGAGTCTATCATAAAATCAGAAAGCTAAGACTTTAATACCTTAACATGTAATAAGTAATGATCTTTCACTTTTCTCTTTATGGCAGTTGAAGTTAGGAGGACCCCGTGCTGGTTGACTTCAAATGTGTGGTCATCATTTCCACTCACAATAGTAAAGAAGAAAGGCGGGCCATTGTGAGAAGAATCCCGATCTGTTACCACGAGCTGTAGCACACTGAAACCCACAGGCTTGTTTTCCTAAATAAATAAAGGAAACACAGACACATACACAGCTTTCTGCAAATATGAATCTATATGAGACACATTTGTTTTCTACTATATGAAAAATACAAGGTCAAAGCTTTATCATAATACTCCATTTGAGAGGAACAGAGAGAGGAGAAGGTGGGTAAAAAAGTGAAGGAGAAGAGAGGAAAAGAAGCACACGGGAAGTGGGGTGGGAATGAGGACAAGTGGAGGAGGACCAAGGTAGGAAGGCACATGGCGAGGAGGAGGAGGAGACAGCAAAGAGAAGCAGCAGCAGGAGACAATAAGAAATACTTTCTAATCTTGGAAGAAGATGACAAATCTTAAAAACAAAAGTACAAAAAAAGGAGACGAGAACATGGTTGCATTTTGAAAATGCTCATCTTTATCAGTGGATAAATCTCTAATTTTCATTTTCTCTGGAACAAATAAACTTTGGACAAGAAAGGAATTTTAAAAATCGAAAAACAACAACAAACAATGGGCCCTGCAGCCAAAGAAGAAAGTCACATCAAAAGAAAAGTGTTCAACAAACCCTTCGGCACGGCAAGATTACCTGGATGATCACACTGTAGTTTCCTTTAGAGAAGACGGGAGGATTGTCATTGACATCAGACACATCGATGTTCACAGTGGTGGTGTTGACTCTGGGTGGACTGCCATTGTCAGATGCTTGAACGGTGAGAGTATATCCTGAAATCTTTGTAGAGGAAAAGAAAGAGAAAAAATATATATATATTTTTTTTTCCCGCAAGGTCAAAGAACAGCTGAAATCTAAAGAATATTCTTGACAATCTAGAAAGGCAGATCAAAAACAGTGGCAGCATTTGTTGTATGCTGCCTCTAGGTAGTTCTCTAACCTACAAACAAGTACACTGCAGGCAACTTCTTCACAAAGTGAATGCAATTTTCTCAATACCTATCAAAAAGATTTTGTTAAAATATCCTAACATCAAAAACGTATACTTCTATTAGTGGAAACAGAGCAAAATATACAAATAAGCATAAAAAATATTCATCAAAAGTGTTGCTGCTCTAGTAACAACAGGGAACGCCAAAACTTATTCTTCACTGGAAATAACACATTAAGCTGTTTCTAATTCCTAAGTGTTTATTTTCAATACCTCAGGACATTCCATATCACTCTACTCCATCAAGTTTACACTTAAGAGTAAATGCAACTGTTTAATCCCTCAAAAGTATCCCTTCATAATATTCTTCACCTGAGTCAAGAGAGGTAGCTACTTTTCTAAGCCTGTTCTGTAGAACATTAGTCAAGCAAAGAGCCCAATAAAATTAAGTTCAGAAGGCAAATTAGTCTGATACAACACAGGTTATCTCTTCTGCTACCTTCCAAGAGATATATTAGCATATTGAAGAGTAATTTTTTTAGTGAAAAAGTCTAAAGGCAATGCAGAAATTTTTGACATAATAAGCCACTGCCCTATACTATTGGAAAATCTCTAATATCAGAAAACAAATTAAAGAATTGAGTTAAATGTGGTATTTCATCATCATCTCTTCAAATCCCTCTACTCTAGATTTACCAATCATTCTTCTGAAATGGCATTATTATAAGCAATGCCGTTCTAACTCCTAGAATTATCCCTGCCAGCATCCCTTCCACTTAAGTGTCTCTGACGCTTCAGCCACCGGCATCTCTCTCTGTATTTTACCTGTCTATCTGAGGTGGCTCTTGCTCTGTTTTCCTTCCTGTCTCTAAGAGTTATTGAGTGGATGGCTGAGAAGATAGGCAGCTCTGAGGGAGGGAGTCGGGGATGGAATGATGACCGGACAGGTATATGCTGAGCTTGGTTTACACTTCTTTGTTTCCTCACACTTATCTCAATCTCATAGAGATCACTTATGCTCCAGGAGCATGTCACATTATCTACATTGCCAGCTCTGAAGCCTCTAAGCTCCAAAATAAAATCTCCATACATTGCCTAAACAAATATGCCATTTTCCTCTAGAAGTCAGTATAAACAAAAGCCACATTCTTCAACGCTTCCAGCATTTGTCTCTCTAGTAGTGATGCTCTGTTATAGCAAGGGGGGTGGGGGAGCAAACAAAAAACCTCAAACCAAACAAACAAACAAAAAAAACCACCTCAAACCAAATCACAGGATTACACTGCTTTCTATACAGGGCCAAACATAAGTCATATAAATTCTCATTTTTCCTTTGCAAAGTTTCTGTGCTCGTCACCCCCCGCCCCAATTCTTACTGCTACTTTCTCAGTTCAAGCTATTGTTGCTACTGACTCTCTCACTTTTTACACTTATATCTACTGTAGGCTGATCTTCCAAAAATGGCCCATTCGTAATAACGTCACATTTTGGCTCACAGACAACTAATTTTTCAATGCTTGCAGCATCAAGTTTGACCTTATGACCCTGGTATTTATTGTGGCTTGTAACTATCCCTAATACACCATTCTATCTTCTTATCTATCCCTCACCATTCCCTTCTACGATTAGTGAAATGCAACCTGACAGTGAAACTTCTCTAAATATATACCATGATGCCCTATTTCCATGCCTTCAGTCATACAATTACTCACAGGCAATGCTCTCCTCTCCAGGAGTCAGAAAGCAGGTTCAATCCCGCGGTATGTTCTTCCAAATCCATGCTATCATCTAAAACCTAGCTTCTACTTACAAGAAATGTAAGAACACTGGAGCCAACAGTACCGTCTTCCTTCCCTGAACCTACAACCTTTCTCATCCATACTTCATATTAGTGTGATATACACTCTATGTTCTTAAGATCTTCACTATATAATTGCTTTCAGATATTTACATCTCCCTTGGTTCTTTGAGAATTGCTTCTATTTCCCTACTATGCCCAGCAAAAACATTCACAGAAGAGACTCTCTTTATTGATTCTACACTTTGTAGACTATTACAACCAAACTTTTTCACTTACCGTTTCTCGGTCTAGAAGCTTGGTCACTTTCACCTCGCCCTTGACAGGGTCTATTGTAAATGGACTTCCTTGATTGCCGTCTATAATTGAATAGTGAATATGGCTGTTGGAAGGTCCATCCGCATCATCAGCCATAACCTAGAATGGATTAAGCTTCTGTTTAGGAAACCATTAAGGCAAAACTACAAGTCTGTTAAATACATTACTGGTATTAAGAGTTACTAGATCACAAAGCCGTTATTTAAGTTAATTAATCAGGCTAATAAGGAAGTTTCCTAGCTTCAAACTATTTTCAAGTAAGAATATGATAAAAGCAAGATAAATTTTTCTGAAAATTTGGCAAAGTTTCCAAAAGGAAAAAAATTAGAGGGGGAAATACACACCATGATGACAGGCTGTTCAAGAACAGCATCTTCACTGACCACGGCCGTGTAGGTGTCCTGGCTGAAAACGGGGCTGTTATCATTGATATCAGTTACATTAACATTGACAGTTGCAACGTCACTCAGTGAAGGTGTGCCTCCATCAGTCGCTTCTACTGTCAGGTAATATTCATGAGAGCTTTCATAATCCAGACTCTCTAAGACAAATATGGCCCCTGGAAAGAAAATAAAAATGATTTCTAAAATTTGAGAAGAAGCCTACTACTATGACTAAAACAGACATCACATCTAAATCAATTTCATTTTTCCAAAGAAAGTGTGCTATCTATGTATGTTCTAGTTCTTTAGTTCAACAAATAAAAATCATTTGCCCATTTTTAGATCCTTACTTATTTCTCTGAATTTTAGTGATAACTCTTTGTGAAACTTGAATTTGCTTTCCCAGTTAATAACATCTCCAAATATAAAAACTGCCTTTCTGTTTCTCTTCTAAATTACAGTTTACTAGTCTGCACTCTAGCTTAATAAACAAAAGTATAAAGGACCTACGCTGTAGCTTTTAGTTTTTCTTTTTATAATTTGCTTAATAAAAGGGATAAGAAAAGTGTATCCTTTCCTTTACCTCTTAAAATAACTCTATGATTATATCTATCATTTTAAAAAAAGCATCTTTTGATTTGCCAATGCCTTCAACATTAATTCCTTCTCTATTCCTTACATAGTGCATCCTACCTAAAAAATAGAACAAAAGATCACTAAAATTAGTAATTTCATGTTACATATTGAGATGTGTTTTAAAATAGCATCATCACACACTTTCAATCTGAGCTAGTCATATACAGTTAAATTTAGTTTTGACTGAAGCCATTTTTAAGATGTTCTTATATATAAAGCTATTTTACACCACAGGTTACCAAGACTACAAAGTATTTAACAAAGTATTTACGTGACTAAAGTTAACAAGCCATATGGCTTCTGACTTGGGCTATCAGTCAGTGTGATTCACAGCAGAGGCTATCTTTGGGTCATGAACCTTTGATTTTCAGGCAAGTTGTGCTTGCCTTCATGCAGTGCGCTGAATAGGTTCAGCCAGAATTTTCACAGTTTGGGTGATTTGTAACTGTAACTGGGATGGTAATAATTATGTGCTGAAGCCCTGGAATGGGGGACTAGGAAGAGATATAGTGAGTCCTTTCAAGAGCCTAGATTACTACTGACAGGACTGTGGAGAACAAGACACAGGGAATTTGGCAACAAGGTAGGCTGGTAACTTTGAGAGATATAATGGTATCTTTGAAGCTCTATTTTGACATTATGCAAATTTGTCTTCACTTTGAAAAGGCTGAACCAATCTCTACTCTCAATAAATCTTTCGTCACAATCACCTTCACATTGCTGTTAAGTGCAGCTTTTAAATCACTGAAAAGGCTTAGCCTTTCCTTACACAAAAATGAAAAAGAAAAAAAATGTAACTTTCATCAAATTGATTCTCCCTCCTACAGAACAAAAAAGGACAGAGGAGGAATGAATCATGTGGTTTCTAAGAGTATTAGGGAAGCAGAATGGTCTCATCTTTTTTCTGTGACGAGGCTGGTGGGCTTAAACCTCTGACCTTGTGATTAGAAGCCCAGGGCCCAGGGCCCAGGGATCATACTCCTGCTCAAGTACAGCTACATAAAAACTGTGTATGTGTATAATGACTCATCTAAAATTCTTACAGACACAGGAACAAATCTCATTCATAAAAAAGCCAATGGTTATACAGCTAGCATAACCAAGGTTATTTTTAGTGAGTCAACAGGTACCTGTTACCATAGCTAAGATCTTAAGCCACTGTTTACTTGAGAAGCAATTTCATGAGTCTAACGGGGAAAGGAGCGATTATAGGATGACTTGTCTTCTATTTTCTACTCTGCATCTTACCAACTTAGCATATTTTACATGTTTACTAAATTACTAGTGTGATAACTTTAATTTTCTATTTATAATTAACTTACTTGTACTTTAAAATGGATATGCCAGAATATATCTTTTGACAAAAACCTCAAAGCCTAAATCTCTTCCCAAGTCCACTTAAAACCACAAAAGCTAGACAATACTGATTTTCATCTCTTTAAAATATCTGTCTACTGACAAAAGCATACCATATTTTTACACAAATAAGGCATGTTATGGGGAACTTTTTGCCAATTCTCCCCTCCAACTCACAGTAGTAGAGCTTTATACTAATTTTTTATAGCAATATGTTTTAAAAAAATAGCATAGTTTGCTTAAGAAAATATGGGGTGGAAGCATGAGTTGGCAAAAAAGCATACAACAAAAAAGCCATTTAACACAGGGGTTATTTTTCTAAAAGTAAAGAAACTAGTCACTGAATGTAAAGTAAAGCAACAGGCAACTTCAAACTTCTCAGTGTGACAATGGGGCTTCTCTCATTTATAGACTAAGTTACCTGTTTTTGAATCTATGCTGAATTTCCCATGTTCGTTTCCACTTATCAATGAGTAGGTGATTTCTGCATTTGCTTCAATATCCCGACTGGCGGCGTACACCTGAAGAATTTCTGTTCCAATATTAATATCCTCAGACACCGTGGTGCCATACTCACGGTATTCAAACACAGGTGGGTTGTCATTTATGTCTAGAACTGAAATCACGACAGTGCCAGTAGCCGTCAGCCTCCTGGGCAAGCCCTGATCTACAGCTTTTAGAGTAAGTGTGTATACTGATTGTAGTTCTCTATCCAAAGGCTTCTCTAACTTAAGAATTCCAGAAAACTCATTAATGGAGAACTGTCCATCAGCAGAATTAACCAGTGAGTAAGAAATCTTCCGATTCAATCCTGTTAGGACAAAGAGAATCATGTCAGAATGCCATGCAATTTTGGGGGGGGGAGGGGAGCTTCTTGTTTAAATCAGTTAGGACCAGGTGAGTGGGTCTTTGTGATTAAAAGTTGGTTGAGGCCTCGAGCCTCATGTAATTTTAAATGTTTTACTTAGAGAAATAGAAATGTAAAACTTTTAAACATGTCAAATAATACAAGGAGAAAATGTTAGATGTACTTAAAATGCTTATCATAACTTTGCTCTTAACATTTTCTGAATTAACAGTATACGGAGACATAAAATAATTTCCTAATTTTATGACTTTTTAGACCATGGTATATGCTGTATCTTTAAAAAAATCTTTTCTTTAGTTCAGTGACAAACAATTACTTCAGTAACATTTTCCATTTCTCATTTTATAATACAAAGAAATTATTTCTTTTCTGCTATCAAAATGTTATGAGTAGTCTTTTCTTTCTCACATAAACTTCTGAAAGACTTGTCAAAGTGTTAACAATATAGTACATGTCACCTATTTTCCAGTATTACCTTAACTTCTTTATGTCACCACTGGCTTATTATCAAAATAAAGCTTCATAATAAATGAGGCAACAGCATGCTTCTGGAAACTCTAGGAACTCTGATAAATGATGATCGTTTTAGAAAGGCTTCAGACCTTTTGTTCAAAGGGTCACTATGAGCTGTGCTCAACTTGAAGGCAATCAACAACAACAATAAATGAGGCAAGATATAAAGATCAGTTAACACAGCTGTTAAGCTGACAGACTTAGTTATGTCAGGGAATGAAAAATTACAACAATGAGAATTACTTGATACGCCTAGAAGTCAAATGTACTAGACTTGGATGTATTTGAAAACAGTGTTTTCCTAAGAGAGTGGTGCATGTGTCAAGGTTAAAGCATCATCCAGGTGATACCTGCATCTGCATCCGTAGCCTGCACTCTGGTCAGGAGTGTCCCAGGTTCTGTGTTTTCAAACACAGTGATGGTGTACGGATCAGCAGAGAACTCAGGCGCATTATCATTCACATCTTCTAGCGTGAGCACAATGTTAGACTGACAGAATTTTCCCCCTCCATCTGTAGCTCTGACTAGAAGATTATAAACAGCTTGCTCCTCACGATCAAGGGGAGCTAGTGTTTTCAGTTCACCTGAAAATAAACGAGCAAAAACAAATAAATGGACTTGCATGACATTTAAGACATGAACTAAAACAGTGTTACGTTGTCTTCCCCTTTCTCTTACTATTGAAACTCTAAGCATAGTTCTCCTTTGTAGAACAAGTTCATCAATGACAGTCATCAGCTGAATACAGATACAGATCTAGGTTTTTTAACATTGGCAGGTGCAAGCTCTTTAAACTTTGAAAGGTAAGAACAATTGTATTTTATGTAATTATCATGAAATCTAAATTCCTACCTAATTTACCACACTAAAAAATATTTTTATAAAACTAAAAAATCACATTTACATGTTCACAATTAGCATTTTAGAAAGTAGAAAAATTTTAACATAAATTTGTTACTTCCTTCTACTTTTAACACACATTAAAAGAGGGCAAGTCTAGAAATATAAAAACTAATAAAACACCCTGAAACATTCTAGTTACGGATATACTAAATTATGGTCACATATTCAAGGAAAGCAATTATATAAATAAAAATGAACAAAGCAGGAATTGTGACTGGCACGCTTTAACTTATTTTAAGGCTGACAGAAACAACTTCTAAATTTTGAATTCTTGGCTCAAGCAGGTGATACCTGTGCTCCTAATTTTTCATTCTCACCCCAAACTTTACCAATTAAACTACTGTTTAGATTTCTAAAAGATGTCAATTTTATAAAAATAAAATAAACTTGAAGGGAAAAAAAATGTCATTTCAAACTTGTGCGAGATCTAAATAAACCAGCCACATGCATCATTTTGTCACAATACCCAAATGATTTGTCCCAAAGACCATCATTACCTGTGTCTGGATTTAGTCTGAATTTTTCTGCACCTGGGCCAAACAGTGTATAAGTGATTTCAGCATTGGACCGGATATCTGCATCTGTAGCAGAGACTTGCATGATCAACTTTCCAGGAAGTGTGTCTTCTGGGATTGTGTCTAAATACAGAGTCTGTGGAGAAATGAAACAATATCACTAGTAAGAAACATTAAGCATGAGCATGATTGCCAAGGGTATAATGGAAAATAAACCCTGTAACTCTGACAAGAAAAAACATGGAAGATTGGGCAAGTTAAACTATTTTCTCTTATAAAACACACTGGAAACAGACCATTTAATAATTACAATCCTGGGAGAGTCTGAATGACATTTAATCTACAGAAGATTGACCAATGCTATAGAAATATTATATTTCATGTACATTTATATGATTACCTACTGTATCTAAGAAGGAGAATCTTTCTTTTCTTACTTCCAAATATAGTAATTTGTTATCTTCAATCATCATTATCTGCAATCAAGCCAGTACCTAGTATTTTAATTCTATTTATTACCAGTGGTAGTGATGAAATGTGAAATATATAAAATTGAAGATATTTAAAATTAACAAAAATAGGAAACATATGAAATCTATATTAATTTTACTATATGAAATATAATATTAATTACCAAATAATATAAACATGATAAATAAATGACCAAAATTATTTCTTTTAAAAATCACATAATTAAGTAATTGTTGTTGAGACAGAATCTATCTTCACATTAGAGGAGAAAACCAAGATTTGCCAAATCCCCAGGGGTAAAAGGATGTGCAGTCCAAGGCTCCCCAGTGACTCTCCACCTCCTGAAATCTCACCACAATGAAACAACAGTCTTTAGTCACAACTATGTAGGAATCTATGTCATAAATACAAGAAACAGGTTGTTGTTGTTGTTGTTGTTATGTGCCATCGAGTCGTTTCCGACTCATAGCGACCCTATGCACAACAGCTCTAAACCCTGCTCTATCCTGCGCC